GAGTTATGCCTATATGTCCTCTCAGCTTCTCAAAGACAGGATCTTATACGTGCAACACTGTCTGCGTTGCACGCCTATCTTTCCTGGATTCCGTTGGGCTATATTTTTGAGTCTCCTTTGGTAATATACCTAGAAAAAAAGATAGATGATGTTAATTGGTACCACAATTGTGATCTTCTGATATCTGTTCCGGTGGTTTACAGCTTGAGACCCTCCTCAAATTCTTTCCAGTGCCAGCATATAGGAACCTCACTCTTCAATGTTTAACTGAGGTACTTCAGTTTCTAGTTCAGCTTTGCCTGTTATCATTTGAATGTATTATTTATTTTCTATCGGCTCGAATTTTGTCTGGCAGGTTGCAGTTCTCAATTTCGGGGACTTCTACAATGTCCAGTATGTCAAAATGTACACCATATTTATAGGGCAGTTGCAGGTAAATTTGTCACTTCTTGTGTAACTTTTTTTTTAATTCATTGATATTCTGATACTTCGTTTACATTTCTAACAAGGTAATGTAGTAATTTTGGTCTACTTCATGCTTGGCTTCTTGTCTGATGCTCTACACTTGTTCTCATGCCTGCAGGCAATTCTCCCACCAAGTACAAATATTCCTGAGGCATATTCAAGCGGAAGTGGTGAAGAACAAGTAAGTATTTTTTGTTTGCTTGGATTCGAGGCAGCTCGCTGATTTGAATAACTTATCAAGGTCATGGCTGTTTTTTATTGTCACCTCTAGGCATTTATCCAGAACTTGGCACTGTTTTTCACTTCGTTTTTCAAGGTAAATATTCCTCTTTGTTGAGCCACGTATCTAATGTTGGGTTTTTGGAATTCTGGATATGTATAATGATGATTCACGGTTTGTGTTTAATGCTTCCAGTAATTATTGTTGCTTATCTACTTCTTATTTACTTCATTTTATATCTGCAGTTTCATATAAGAGTCTTAGAATCAGCGCCAGAACTAGTCGCTTTGTTACTTGCGGGTCTCGAATATCTCATCAATATATCATATGTCGATGACACTGAAGTATTTAAGGTATGTGAATTGCCATTGGTAATATTATTCCTGATGATACATTTGCGTGTTTCATTTTTTCCTTACTAATGCTCTTATTTGCTTTGGGGTCTGAAAAATGACATTTTCTGCTTGCTTGTGGACTGAGCAGGTTTGTTTGGACTATTGGAACTCATTGGTTTTGGAGCTGTTCGATGCACATCATAATTCTGATAACCCGGCATTAAGTGTAGGCTTGATGGGATTACAGGTAGGATGGATTCCTTGACTATTATGGATCATTTTTTTAATTCTTGCAGGATACTATAGTTGTATATTTTATTGGTAGAACTTTCCTTGCTTTGATGTTGTTATTCACCCACCTTGGGCATTTACTGTCACATTCCCAGATGCCTTTCCTTCCTGGTATGGTTGATGGTCTTGGTTCTCAAGTCATGCAGCGGCGTCAACTTTATTCTAACCCAATGTCCAAATTAAGAGGGTTAATGATAAACCGCATGGCGAAGCCTGAAGAAGTGCTTATTGTTGAAGATGAAAATGGGAACATAGTTCGTGAAACTATGAAGGACAATGATGTTCTTGTCCAGTATAAGGTACCGATTCTTATCCAGTTCTTAATGCTCTTCTCAGCTATATTAGATATATACCAGCTGTGCTATGATATAATTGATGGAAATTTTATTTTTATTTGGGTTCTACTCTTTTGGTTATCCTCTCTGTTTCAACAATTGCAGATAATGCGGGAGACATTAATCTACCTCTCACACCTTGATCATGATGATACCGAGAAGCAGGTACCGTGTTTGCCATGATGATACTGGTCTATGCATATTGATTTGTGAAAAATATAGAGCATTAACAGTTGATCTACTATGGTGTTTTTGAAATTCTTTGAGTTTTTCCTTTTTCTAGAAAGAGCAATCAGTAGTACCCTAAATATTGTAATTTAAATGTGGATGTGTTATTAGATATGAGATTTGCTGATGCATAGGTAAGCTGTCTTTCGTCTGTTTTCATCCTGTTGTGCTGATGTGAACTTCTGATTTTTCCTCTTAAAGATGTTGAGGAAGCTAAACAAACAATTAAGCGGGGAGGAGTGGGCATGGAACAATCTGAACACTTTGTGCTGGGCAATCGGGTCTATTTCCGGATCTATGGCAGAAGATCAGGTAAAATGTTTGCTAGAGCTCAGCCTCACTCTTTTTATTATCTTCTATTCATAATTATGGACATTCTTGTTTGTGATGCAGTACCTTCCCTTCTATTGGTGTTATACTATATTTTCTAGTATACTATATTCGCTTTCAAGTTTGGTGTTAGTTGTTTTCTGTGCCAACGAATGATTTGAGCTTATCGGTGTCTTTTTCAGGAAAACAGATTTTTGGTGATGGTCATCCGTGATTTGTTGAATTTATGTGAAATTACCAAGGGGAAAGATAATAAAGCTGTTATTGCGAGCAACATCATGTAAGTTTCTTCCTTCATATACTGAAACATATACTACAGCTGAATTTTGCACTGGATGACGTACTTCTACCGTGTGAAATTTTCTATTTTTCTCAAGGCTTCAGTAAGATTTATGCATACTGAACTGAAAGATGACCTTTTTCTGCTGTGGTTTTTTGGGCAGGTATGTCGTTGGCCAGTATCCAAGATTCTTAAGGGCACACTGGAAGTTTCTGAAGACTGTTGTGAACAAGTTGTTTGAATTCATGCATGAGACACATCCTGGTGTTCAGGTAGCACATCCCAAACTTTGAATTTTTGAAGTTCAGTTTCCCGTTGGAATCTCAGATTAAATAATATAGTATTCACTGTTAAAATCCGAGAATAACATCCTCAAAGTTCTTGAAGATTATATTGGTCGCAAATATATATCACGTTGTTGCTTTTCGTGGGGTCCATGGTGCAGTAGTTCATCTATAATCTGTCAAGCTAGCATCTGACTTCTTTTTGAACTGACTATTCTTGCATAGTATTCTTTCCAATTGAAAATGCTTAATGCTTATGTTTCTGTTTCAGGACATGGCCTGTGATACATTCTTGAAAATAGTTCAGAAGTGCAAGCGTAAATTTGTTATTGTTCAGGTATGTGTCTCTATGTTCTTTTATATTCTTCCATTGTCTCCTGGATGAAAACTTAGTTATAGTTCATTTTCGGTTTCAGGTTGGAGAGAGTGAACCATTTGTATCTGAACTTCTAACAGGCCTTGCAACAACTGTTCAAGATCTTGAGCCTCATCAAATTCACTCATTTTACGAATCAGTTAGTTTTCCTGATGCATTACTACTGTTCCAATTCAAGAGCTATTTCTCGTTGCGATTTCATTGTTTCTCTGTATCCAGGTTGGTAATATGATCCAAGCAGAATCAGATCCTCAGAAGAGAGATGAATATCTCCAGAGGTTGATGGCACTCCCGAACCAGGTATCTTTAAATAAAAATGTGTCTGCTAAGTTTTTCTTTACATAGCTGGCTAAAACTGTTCCCTTTCATAATGTAGAAATGGGCAGAGATCATAGGACAGGCACGCCAAAGTGTAGAATTCCTCAAGGATCCAGGTGTGATACGTACAGTACTTAACATCTTACAGGTCTGTTTCTTACCTATTCCTCACGATGCATTATCATATTGTCAAGTGAAATCATATTATTATAATAGCTTAGTTGGTACATCTATTGATGTTAAGATTAATGTTGATTTGATTGCAAGGTGCAACTATTAACATGTGTTTCCCCTGCAGACTAATACAAGTGCTGCTACTTCACTGGGAACATACTTCTTGTCCCAAATTTCCTTGATCTTCTTGGATATGTTGAATGTATACAGGTAATACATCAATTATATAGCCTTTTTAAGTTATAGTACTTTTTCTCTTGTTACTTTACTTGCATGTTCATTTTTTTTCATGGCTGCACCAGAATGTACAGTGAGCTTGTATCAACCAACATTACTGATGGGGGCCCATATGCTTCCAAGACATCCTTTGTAAAACTCTTAAGGTTTGGATGGATTTAAGCATCAAAGACATACTTCTTGATCTCTCTTATGTGACAAACTGGAATTAATGATATATTGCAATGCTTTGCTGTACAGATCTGTTAAGAGGGAAACACTTAAGCTGATAGAAACCTTTTTAGACAAAGCTGAAGACCAGCCACATATAGGGAAACAATTTGTGCCACCAATGATGGAATCTGTGCTTGGTGACTATGCTAGGAATGTGCCTGATGCTAGGGAATCAGAAGTTCTTTCACTCTTCGCAACGATTATAAACAAGTACGCCTCTTAACTGATACCTGCCTGCCTTAGAAATTATGGATGTATACTA